TTGTATTGTTTAAGGTAGCAGACTAGAATTTCAATTGAAAAATACTCACGCATTTTTAAAAATAAAAATAATGCGTGTTTTACGCTTTTAAAGCAATAACTTTAGTAGAAATTACATGTATAATTGTTTTCAAGATTAAGAGGTAAAAAAAAATATGTACATTCTTAAAGAAATGATTTTTTTTACGATTTTGTAACCGATAGGGAGATGGATCTCCTTTTGTGTGTTCAAACTGATGCTATTTGAGAAGGGGCCAGAAAAAAGTTGTTGAAAACAAAAAGTATAAGATATAAGCTCTTGATATTTTTAATAGATGGATTTTAAGATCTCACAGTTATTTTTGGCCATTAACCTGCACAAATTCATAGTGTCTATCATATTTTGTAGCATTCCATAAAAACTTTGACGTTTTGTGATGCCCCTGCTAGACATAGACTGTAGCGTTTTTTGTTCTTCTTACATAAAATGCCCAGTATAGTATTACTCATCACACATTGTAATTTGAACAAAAAGTCTTGCAGTATTTTTGTAATTTGTTTTGAAGTGCGAGAAAAGTAATTATATATTGAGATGGTTCCCCAAAATACACAGCCGGTAGAGTTATCTCAAAACGTGGATTGTACATTGAAGTCAGTGCATGCTACACATGGTATAAAAGGAAAGAATTGTTTTCTATTGTAGTTTTACACAATGAAACCAAACCCCAGTCGATTCCTTTAAATGGACATTTGGGAATGCTCGTTCGTTATCTTCACATTTCATTAACCACTCACGAGTCTGAACCCTTGAAGAGGTCAGCAATTCAATGTTTGAGTACACTGCATATCTTGCCATCTTGCAAACATTTTTTTTTCTTCCAGAAGTAAAAAAAAAACTCATTTTAATTAAATTATATGACATAAAGGCTGGAATTTCTCAACTTTGGAAAAGGGTTCTAAGGTAAAAATAATCAAAGAAAAAGTTATCAAGCATGAACTATTTCAACAATGAAGAACTTAATTTGAACTCATAAAACTTGTTACTAAACGATTCTTAATCATATAGAATACAATTACAAAAGTTTTATAACATGTTCGTAGTTTATCATAAGTGAATTATTCAGTGGATGTCCGTACTTTCTTTATCACATTCTTTACCACCTCACAATTATCACGTTCCTTAACACTTTTTTTTTTTGGCCTTCAATATTCAAAATTCAAAATATACAAAATTCGTAGTTCTCCCATTATATTGACAAGATCTTCTTGTGATTATTTTGAAATCCCAGTAATATTTATTCGGGATTTGCATTGTCTTACCTGAAAGTACAGAAAAAAATGTTTACCCCGTCAAAAAAATTTAACTCCCACCTCCGTAAAAAAATCATTGAGAGCATATTCTAACCAAAAGAGATACATTTTGTTTGTGTTTCTTAACCATGTGATTAACCCGAAAATGTAGACTTCGTTTTACATTGAGATTATAAAAAATGAAGCTGAAGGCTAAGCATCGAACAAAATAAAATAAATTTTGGCAGTTCGTGCATAATAGTAGATGAAAAATGAAAGATTGTTTCTACTATTATTTTCTTATTTATTTTTTTTTTTTACACATTCTTTGTTTTTAGAAGCCTAAAAGATTTTATTAATTAACTTGTACATGTTATATAAAAGTAGCTTAGTAGTTTTTCAAAGATGATTAAAAAATGACTCATGAAAGTATGAACATCAAGGACAGATGCAATGTAGATCTGAACTTTTTTTCTAATTCCTGTATTGATCAATGAAGAATTTCAATTATTGAAGGACTTAAATGTGACTCCGATGATGCTGTAAACCGAATGAGAAGCTAGTTTTGAGAAAATACCATCTAAAACAACGTTATTGGTCATTCTTTGTGTGTTTTGTCTTTGCAAAACATGTATTTTTAAAAATTGTTTTTGATATTTTAAAGGTTTCTAATACCCTTGTTATATTTACTGAAAATCTAGAAGTACAATGATTAATTTCGGATTGAAATGATCTTGAAAAATTACTGAAGGAAAAGGTAGTTGCATATGACCCAAAATCCTTTAAAAAATTTCTGCTAAAAATATTTTCTTTACTACCTTAAGTCACTTTCTCACAGTCTCTAAGTAAATTCTTTGATTTTTTTTATGTGTATCCTGGATGATAAAGCCCACGTCGCTTCATTTGTATGTAATGAATTTCTCATGCTCATTTCATATATTTAATATTCCACCTTATTAAACCTTCAAACTTAACATAGGTCTTAAGGAACATATAAATTACATACCTGTAAGTAAATAAAGCATTGTGGCCAAACAAAATTTATAACACGTGATAACGAAATCTAACCATAAAGGTAGTTATGCATCAGTGCACAGTCTATTATGGGATATCATTTACCGACACCCAGAGAATCATGGGAGGACTGCCTATTCAGGTAAAATTTCGTGTTATCCATTGATTCTTTTAGGCATGTATATTCTACTTCAAGTAAATGAAACAGGAAAAATTCTTACTTAATTAACCATCGTTGACGTACGAGTTAAGGTATGTAATATATATGTAAAACTCCACAAAAAATCTTTTGAAAAATGGCTGAAAATGAAAAGTAATGAGGGTTAACCAGATGATCAATGAATCGTAGCGATAAAGCAAAACAATGTAATTATATTTCTTTAACGTTGACATAAATGCAACAATCATGATTTCTTCCCCAAATCATTTCTTTTTACAATTGCTTAATTTTTTTCCTATATTTTCTTTTCAGTGTCTGATACGGAAGTAAAGCGAACGCTATTTCATTTTTTGCAGTAATGTACAATGGAGGAAAGCAGAAGACAAACGCCCAAAGACAGTTTAAGGCAAGCACCATTCAAATTAAAGCTTGAGAATATGATAATTTTGTAGTAGGATCATTCAAAAAATAATATTGTCATCAGCGACAATATCATAATTTACTCCCACAACTTGACCACAAACCTTGGTATAACAATATGCCATCCCTACTGGGAAAACTCATCGAATCTCTCTCATTATCGAGATGGCAAGGCATAAGTTTTCTGGCAAATTGCACATGATTGCAAATATATCTCAAAATGAATGTGACAGTAGGACGTTCCAACATTTCAAGATATACTTATATCAAGCAGTTCATCTCCTTTCCTTTCAAAAGTATCTCAAAACTCAAGATGTGTTTCAAAGTGGAATTTTCAATTCCTTATATATAGCAAAGTTCCTTTGTTCAGATAATCTATATTATCTATAAAAACAACTTGCAAGTTTAGGAACTATTTCGTTTTTTAGTGAGCTACTATTTCACCTGAAGGGGCGTACAAATACAAGAAAAAGGAAAAACACCAAATGCAACAAGAAAGATATTTGATAATTAATTTAAAAAATATTGATATTAAATATCAAACTATGTAATTATATATATATATAATTATATATATATATATATATATATATATATATAGGTATTATAACGTAACAATGGAGATTATCATGCCCATGCATGGTAGTTCATGAGAAAATGAACTGTATTCCTATTTGTAAAGAATTATAGGGAAAATTTATTGGAAATGTATATATATATATATATATATATATATATAGAGAGAGAGAGAGAGAGAGAGAGAGAGAGAGAGAGAGAGAGAGAGATATTATAGATTTTGTATATAGTTTGTTAAATATTCACATATTTGGTGATTATTTCAAAATAAATAATAAATGATAAAATATATTCATTATTAACGGAATATTTGTCCTCTCAGTGACAAAGATCTGCCAAACTATGTTGATTAGTTTACTCACTTTTTGCTATTTTGGTATGATTTTTGAAAATGAAAGTAATAATTTTTTTTTAAATTGAATTCATGATAATTGTTGATCATGTATGTTTCACTACAGTTTACAGACATCTTCCCATTTGTGATGCAATATTAAAAGTTGAAGCGGTAACTCTGTTGCAAGCCTCTCGGAGTTTGTTGGCAAAGTTTATTCATTTATAAGTATATATTTGTTGCACCATCATTGGAAGTTTTTCATTTTTTCAAGTTTAATTTGTGTCTTATAATGTTTAAAATATTTTGAAGATAGTAACATCAAGTGTGTTTAGGATGCAAGAGTTATTCTTCTTTGAAAACTTGACTTGCAATGTGTTTTGCATTCCAAACAAACATGGAATCTGTATGAGTTTCACAATATAAATAATGAAGGACTCTAGAGCCTGTTGAATATCACGATGTTATAAATTTATGTGATATATCACTTAAGCCTCACAAAAGGGTAAGTGCTGTAACAATTTCATACATATCATATTTGGTAGAAGAGAGAGAGAGAAATGTCTGAACTCCATTTAGACCAGTGAACTTTGTGTCCTTCTTCACTTGTGACTGATCAATCATTCAGTCATAATGAAAAAAATATCTTGGGAAAGAATGTCCTTAACATAAATTACATGCAGTCAAACCTTACTTCATGTAGTATTTACTAAATATTTTTATTGAACCAAAAAATATCAATGAATTATAGTCCAAATATTGTAAAGCAGTTTATACTGGCTTTATTAGTTTTATAACACATCTGTCAAGAAGATTTTAACTAATTTTAAGGCAATCCAATCCTGAATTTATAAATTATATATATATATATATATATATATATATATATATATATATATATATATATATATATATATATATATATATATATATATATATATATATATATATATATATATATATGAAACATCACACGAAGTGGGGATTCCTTTGTGAATTCACTTTTGCATTGAATTTTATCATATGTATGATTATCGATTTTAAGAAGAACGCGAGAATATGGATGACTCTGAAGAACACTTCATTTTAAATGTGTTGTAGCAATAGAAAAGCCTGTATACAAACTGTTTTACTTATCCCTTTATTCATTTTTTTTTTTCAGAATTCTCTCCCCCCTCTTTATCTCTCAAACTTAACATGACTGTTTTTGTTTTAGGTCTTCGAAACTGGAGCTCTGCGAGAGATTCTTTGTGGTTTTCGTTATCTCTACTGCATTTATCTTCCTCCTATTAGAATCAACTGAACCCCTCAGTTCAACGAATAAACCATCATTTAAAAGCGCTACGGAAAATAACTTGTCTATTACATCAAACAAAGAATGGAGAATATTGTGGTACAATATACCATCGTATCTTGTGAAAAGTTTTAATTATGCTAAATCTAAAAAATGTAATAGGCACCCTAGATGTCTCTTTTCATCGGATCTCAAGGATCTTAATAGAAGTGACGTGGTTATATTCACACAATCTTACATGGCGGTTAATCCGCCACATAAACGATCTCAGCAAATATTTGTATTTAACTCAATGGAAAGTCCTGCATTTATGGGACGACCATCACCAAAATGGGACGATAAATTAGACTGGCTTATGTCATATCGTAGAAACTCAGATATTCACAGGCCATATGGAACTTTACGCAAACGAACCACGCCTTTAGTGAAGAACTACAAAAATGTGTTTAAGAAGAAGAAACTATTCGGTGTATGGATGTCTGGACATTGCCCCGTGCCATCTCGCCGTAGGGATTATATAAAAGAACTGAAAAGGTTTATAGAAATCGACATGTTTGGTACTTGTGGTGATCGTGTTTGTCTCAATCGATCTCCATTTATAAGCGAGTGCTTGAGAAACTTTTCTAGAGATTATAAATTCTATTTTGCGTTTGAAAATAATATTTGCGAGGACTATACGACTGAAAAATTATACAATTTATATTTGGGCAATTTAGATGTAATACCTGTTATAAATGGCCCACAAACAGCAGCGGAATATTTACCTAAAGGGTCGTTTATAAGCGCTTTGGATTTTCACTCACCTAGGGCTTTGGCAGAAAAACTTAAAGAAATTGCCACCAATGAAGAAGTCTTTACTCAATACCTTAGAGAAAAAGACAAATATTACGAAATTGGTATTGACGAAGTATTTCTTAATTCGATGTGCAAGATATGTGACATTTTGGATAAAACAAATGGAAAACCTGAACGACCAAAAGGAACGATTTGGGAACGCTTCTTTTCTAAAGGAGGATGTTGAAAAAAAAATTGATTGCCATCAATATTTGTATAGAAAACCAAAGATAACCTAAAGGGATACTAGTGACCTGTCATACGTGCAAAACGCCAACAATTCCTCAAGATGCTGCTTCTTGTTAATTAATATAGCAATATCCCAACATCGCCTGCTGTGATATCTCCCAACAAATTCCAGAAGCAATAACACGCTCTCATTACGATTAGTTATTTAACTGAGGCAATCTACTGACAAATGAGTTCATGTTACAAGGATTTCAACAACCCCGTTCAAAGTCAGCTTTTCGCATTTTTTACAGTCATTATAATGACCTCGTTTTTAAATATAACCTAGAGATGTGTCGTATTGTGTCTGATAGGTTTGTACCATTTTAGGTCATTGCTTTATTAAAAAATGAAGATAACGAACAGTAATTAAGCTGAAAAGCCAATGGAAACAAAATGATTTGGCAAATACGGACCTCTAAATCATCAGAAGTGGGATAAGGTGCCAGGTAGGAGTAAACATCTCCTGTCGACCGATCAAACAAGTCGTGCTCCTTGTCATGATCAGGCAAATGGATAAAGTCGTAGACAATTCTGTGTGAACATAAAGGCCTAACAATTTGTATGAAAAAAGTCAGTCAACATTCGATTTAACGAAAAATTGTAATTTGTCAAGGACATTGTATCAACCATAGGATTTGCGAAAGAGACAATTGATATCCTTGTACCATCAACTAATTTGCCAATAGCTTTCCTCGATGTAGAAAATGTTCGTACGTAGAGCATGCTCTTGTGTATCAAACAAACTGAGAGACATAAACTACATAAGAAGGTGGTAATGGTAAATTGCTGTAAAGAGAAGGGAAGTTGGCGATAGAAAAGTTGAGGTCATCACGTTTATAATTAATTTTTTTAAATTTGTTAGGTTACTATTAACTTCTTTTTCCTGTAGAATATCCAAATATGATACAGATATGAAACAGATATATCAGACTCTCTGGTGCCTTTTATTTCGTGTTCAAAGGGATAGATAGAATCACGTAGGAATTAAAATGATTTTTGTAGTCGATATCTCTAAATCTCTAATTGAAAGCCTCAGCAAGGGACTTCGTTTCATGTAGAAGTTTTTGAATAAGTTCTGCTTCATATGAATAGAAAAATAGGTCTGCTTATAAAATAATTTATGCTAAATTTGACTACTGAGTACTCAGTATACCTGATCAACATGTAGGATTCACGGCGGGTGTGACCGGTCAACAGGGGATGCTTACTCCTCCTATGCACCTGATCCCACTTCTGTTGCTTCCAGGGATTCGCGGTTGTGTTGAGTGCACAATTCGTTTTGCTTACTAGATTATAAGCAAAATATAATAATGGTCACTATTCGTCATCTTGAAATTTTACAATCAGAAAGGTTACACCAACTAAATACAATATATTAATAGTCTCCCCCACAGAAAGTTCGCATGCGTAACTTACAATAGTATTTTATTTCTTATTTAGGTCGATAATTAAGGATTTATTTAATACTTCATTACAACTTTTAACGTTTAAGTGATTGATAAGTATCTCATTAGGATTTTATATGAAAATGAGCTGTTTGAACTGTTAAAGAGTCGTAAATCTATACCACTTATGATTTAAACATATTTTATTTCAAGTGTTAACCGGTTTGATTTTGTGCAGCTATGGACATCTTATGAGTTATTCATTCGACCTATGTGTGACCGGTCGACAGGGGATGCCTACTCCTCCTAGATATCTGATCCCACCTCTGGAATTCCCAGGGGTCCGTGTTTTATGCTCTGTTCACAGATTTGTATTGTTTGTTGATTTGTTTTTTGGAGATCGATCACTTTTCGTACTCTTCACTTTTTTCATTATGAGTGAATTTCAGCAATGTCTTTTAGATGATGATACAAAACCGGTTGCATGATGATCCAATGTTTTACATATGCTTTTAAAACATACATGGACCTATAGCTATGGAAAATAAAATCCAGTTTTGTTGTTGAGAATATTGATAATATTTAACACTGACATATTATTTTGAAGAATTTCCCATAGATAAGGAAATATAAGTTGGATTACCACTTCTAGAATTAAATCCAAGTTCCTCTAAAATGCAATTGTAATAATGAGCCTTACAATCAAAGACTGTTGTTACCTGTTTTGTCAGCTGGGAAAAGTACATTTTGATCATTTAATCTATCTAGACAGGACACAAAACGAGATGCAATGAACATAAGTAAAATTCTTAGTCAAATGAAAATTCAGTCTGGCATATTTCAAGTTGATTGATTGATTGGTTGTGTGTTGTTTTACATCCTATAAAATTTCTGTGAATTATTTTGGAAATGTTGATTTTAATGAGATCTAACCACTTGAGGTTAAATCTATTTATCAAAGGGAAATAATCTTTTGTGGTTGGGTCTGGTCGATAATGCCTCTTGTTCTCCTCGCGATTTTTAGGATATTTATCAGTTCCATTCATACTTAGGGGATATTAGTAGCACCTAGCAGAGAACTCTGACGTCATGTCACTTATTCGTCATCAGTCTGTGCTGAAACTTTTAGAGGTAAGGATGTCTCGAAAATACAAGAAGGTTTTTTCGTAAATTTATGTCGGCTATTTCATAGTATATTTATACGTGTTGACTTACTTATGCCTGGTAAAAGGCGATTTATTTATTTATTCTTTGCGATGGGTGAATAAGCGAAAAATTTCTGTCGGATTGTAGGACTCGTGTGTAAGAAATTTTTTGCGCAGGCAGCACGTGGCTTGTCATATCACATGAAAAAAGGTCGTTCTAGTATTATTTTACTTAATCATTTAGTTTGTTTTTCTATGTATTATCAATTGGAAATACGAAAGGGGAGAAGAATATATAAAAAAATTCATTGATGTACATGCATATTCCATGTTTTGTTATACTCTCGATAAATAATCACGAGAAGTGAAAGCGAGGTGAGGCGGATGATGAAGAAAGAGTTGCAAGCATTCTTTTTTTGTGTGTTTCAGTGGAGAACGGTATAGGCTACCGGGTATTCAAAACAGCTTATAGAGACAAAAGGGTTACATTATCAATGACACATGGTGCATTTTAGAATACAGAGCTAGGAGGGGGTGTTAGCCTCAGATAAAAAAAAAAAAAAGAATGGAAAAGGGGGGGGGGGTCCAACCCCAAGAGCCTGTTGTTCAAGATTGACTAACTGTGCAGGAAGTATTATACGGCTACATGTCTTGACCTCCTTATCACTGGTATAGATTCCCAGTAAGACCTACCCTAGGTCCCGGACCTAACCCTGGTCTTGTAGCAGCACTGCAAACAACAATTTTTGACACCAGAGCAATAATTGAGGGGTCACCTAGAGGGTGGTGTATTAACTATTAAGATTTAAATTAGTTTCAGTATACTTCTTGATTTCAGCTAAAGCTTCAGTATAGGCTAGTCGAATTTTTAGATAACTAAATCTGAAGCTAGAGAGATTACAAACATACAAGTCTGGACCTATTAGCTTTTCTTTGACTGGAATATAAATTTTGTAGATCTATATTTCTTTGGCACACCTTCATGCATAAGTACAGTCCACATTAGTTATGTCAAGCTTTTAAGCAGAATAAAAATATTTAGGAATAAAATCAGAATTGTATTGCATCTCCTAAAACAGTTTACTACTAAGTGACTAAGACAAGATTGTTTGGAGATACATTATTCATGTGACTAAATACTTCCAATGTCTGCTCATCTTAAAATTTTAAGTTGTGTGCAAAAATTCTGTGTCTTGTTAAGCTAAAACTTGCTGAATTATGAATTTTGAAACTCTAGGTTATTTTCTGTTTTGAATCTGTAAAACAATAATTTTCCACATTTAAAAAGCTTTGTACTCTGTATTTTGCATGCTGCATCTTTATTATCATATAAATCCTTTAAATAATAAAATAATATTTAATACATATATCCATAAAGTCCGAAATACAATTAAAATTTATCTTAGAAATTATAACATTAAATTATAAATAAATCTAAAATTACATTCATATAATTACGTCTTTTAAAAAAAAGCGGTGAATAAACAACATTTTTGAGATTGGTTGCCAAAACTTGTGCGACATGTTATTTAAAAACTTTTCTATTAAAATATGTCTTAAAATGTCTTTTGAAAAAGACCAGGCCGGGACTGGGCCTGTTTAATCATAGCTATTAATCCTATTTTGGACCATGAGTTATATCTAAGAATAGTATTTTAGTCATGATTTATTTATATTTAGTACTCAGTCCATTTCTTATAAGGGTTGCCATCTGATGAAAGAGTAGCAGCAAGATTCTGATCTTAACTCCATTTTCATTATAAAATCAAATATGACTTTTTAGTCTCTTGTGATATTAAACATAGATATAGAATTTTTTTTTTAGCAAATAAGAAATGCTCCTAAATCATATTCATGTCTAAGTACACAAATGTCTTAGTTAATTATAATATGAGATGTCTTATTTTTCTAAAAGATACACAATTAATCAAAATTGTTATATTAGAAAAAATGTAAAAAGCTCGAAATTCATATCTCAGTGACAGGCAAAATTATAAACTCAATTTGTCTAGGTATAGTTTTAGGAGACTTTTGGCATGCGAATAATGAAAAAAAGTTGAAGAATATTTCATCACATGAAAAGTTGGTATTAAGAGGCGCTGCAAGCCGTCTAGACACAAGTCTCCGTTAATCATTATAAATAAATGAATAGAAATAAATATATAATTATTTGGTTATTTATATTTACATGTACAGGCAATATGAATTATCCAATGATTAAAAAGAACTATGCTGACCTGTTAAAGTTTCTTAGTTTAAAAAAAGGATTTGCCTCCGTTGGCATTTTAATGTTATTAGTCATTATAATTGAGCCAATATTCTGAAAGACAATCCATCAATTTTTGGAGACCTTTTTTGTAGCTATAGTATAAAGGAAGATTGCATGAGTCATCTGCAAGGGAAAATGTCTAACTTCAATATTTTATCAATTCTGGTTGTTTTTTTTTTTCTTTTTTTTTTTTTGTTGCAAGATGTGAGTAGAGATAAGCATAGAGTGTAGGGGGAAAACTGTCTCATTCAGGTTTGTACAACTCATCTCCTTGGCACAATGGTTTTCTATGGCAAGATTCATTATTAAGCAGTTTTAACTGTTTTGAATATATAATTTTAGATAATTCATGAGAGGTTTCTCAAAAATGAAACAATAATTATAACCCAGTAATCAAACTTTTTAAGGCATTCCTTGAACATGGAATGGGAAGGATCAATATAGCTCACTTGTCCGCCAACCATCGATGTTTTGTAATGTTTATATACAGGTGTATTGCTGGACCTAAATGTATTTATACCTGTCTGCCTCAGGAGGTGGGGAGGGTGGTGGTAGACTCGAAGTTGCCTTTGTTTACGAAGTATTAAATTTAGATTGCGCATGCGCATTCAGTAAATATGTAAATTGGGGTGCTATAAATACCACCCGGAGTCACCGCTAAGTGCATCATGAAAGTAAACAGAAGGCAACATATATAAATGATTTATTTGCATAAATCATTTATAAATCGCTTTATGACATGTCCAGCTTGCCATTTACAAAAATTTAGGTTGGTTTGTATATTTTGCTATAGTTGTTTTGGTAGCTTAGATTTTTTTGATAGCCAGAAAAATTGCTACAAATTCACTCATTTTCATTAGCTAGTGGTTGCGAGTGAGCAAGACATCTCACCTTATGGTCAGGTGATTATTCTGTTGTGTATGTCTTAGTGTGTTTTTTAGTGCTTTATGAAGTGATGCGTTTGATATAGGTAAAATAGAAACACAGATTATAAATACTTATCTCGTTACCCTGATATGTAGGTTGATTTACATACATTTTCAGTGACATGATGTTAAATATCTCGACTTGGATTACGAAAAAAACCTGTCAAGCTTTTAGTCATTTTTACAGGCTTCTCTTGCAAACACAGATGATTTTAATTGCTTCATCAGCACAGGGATACCTTGAGCCATGGCTGCGCTATGACTAGTTATGGGGTCATAGTTTCAGCCATATGATTAATATGGCTGCATTGTATTTGTTGTATTGTGACTAGTCCATTATTTTTACATTGTGTTGGCGATGTTTTCGCTTCCATATTTGTCATAACACAATGTCATTTTATTTAGGGCAATGCTTTTTGCCCTCATTGAAAATTGATTGTTGCTTATTGCGAAGGCAATGCTTTTTGCCTTTATTGACATATTTAGGGCAGTGATTTTGCCCTCATTGAAGATCGATTGTTTCTTATAGCTTAGGCAGTGCTTTTTGCCTTTATTGACATATTTAGGGCAGTGATTTTGCCCTCATTGAAGATTGATTGTTGCTTATTGCTAAGGCAATGCTTTTTGCCTTTTTTGACATATTTAGGGCAGTGATTTTGCCCTCATTGAAGATTGATTGTTGCTGTTGCTAAGGCAATGCTTTTTGACTTTATTTGACATATTTAGGACAATGTTTTGCCCTCGAAAGGAACTGTTGCTTATTGCTAAGGCAATAATGTTCCCATATAGACTTTTGCATTTGCTTATGCTAAGGCAGTGCTTTTGCCTCTAAGAATTACAAATTTACTTCTGCTTTTGCCTTTTAAATTTTTGCCCGTTGCTTAAGAATACATTGATCATTTGACTTTTTTATGCACCTGTTTCAGCATTCTAGCAATGCTTGCAAGATATACTCAATATATTCATGCCTATGAGGATATAAATTAGTTTCATATGACATACAATTGTCCCCAAAATGTGAAATTATTTTATTCTAGAACAATGTTTTCATCACTATTATGGATTTTCATATCATGTTCATAAAATCATAATTTGCAACTTTTGCCACATGCCTACTGGTGGCGCAGACTGTGCAGCAGCACAGTCTAGTGGCAGATATTGGGCTTACAATTAGGCTCATTGAACTCTTTTACACATTTTAACAAGCATTTTCAAGTATGGACTAATCAGTGGACATCTGTGCCCAGGGTTCACATTTCTAGGGATGCCATTACAAGGCAGTATATTGATGCCTCGGCTCCCTCATTTAAGCGGCCGTGGCCCATTCAGCCAAATAAAATAGTAATCAGTACTTTTGTTATTCTATTGTTTTGATACAACAACTCAACTGGCAATCCCTGCTTTTATTAGATGATTTCATCTTTGATAATGCATGCTTATATTTTAGCTTTATAATATGAATAAAACAAAAAATATTGAAAATGTTCGCGTTTCTCTGGGACAACCCATATATATTGTCCTCGGATACAATTGTACTGACTTTGCTTATTGCTTGCACCCA